TTGGGCAATTTGAAACATTGTCTTATCACAGTCAGAGGCGGCCATAGCTTTTGCAGCCTTTACCTCTTTGTTCTTCCGGCCAAGCGGCTTGCGAAGGCCGTTCACTCGGAGCAGGGCCTAAGTAAAAAGGGGAACAGGCGTCAGTTTCCAAACAAAAAAGAAAACAGGCGTCCTGGAATTCAAATACTCAAAAATATGCTAAGTATACCTCAGCAAGGACCCCTGCAATCCCGTCTAGGTCAAGGGTGCCGACACCCCTGACCGCCTCCCTTTCAGCTGGAGGAACGGCTTTGATCATAGACTTGGCCACTTCGACCAAGTCAGGCTCCTGAGGGCCGGCTGCATCAAGCATAAACAAACGGATTAGACCTAGTAAAGGAGGGAGCAAGTCTAAAATTTACAAGGACAATTTCATACTTCTAGGTGGCCCAGCTGGAGTTTTAGAAGAAGTGGCCGGCTGTTTCTCAGCCGCCACATGTTTCCTGGAAGAACCAGGAGAGCTCGCAACAGTCGTCCTCCGGGCCTTGGGGTCCGGCTGTTGGGAAGAAGAAGCTCTTGGAGCGCCCGTCTAAAAAAGAATAAAAGAGTCAGTATATGCATAAACACAACTCCAAAAAGAGGGTGAAAGGTTCGAAGCCCACCAAGGGTGCCCCCTTGTTCGGGGATTCGGTTGAAGACTGTTGCATGATGGAGGCCCGCAACATGGCCGCCACAGTCTTGGAGGCGGTAATTTTGCTCATGGCGTCCGCTGCAAAAACAAATAACAAAGTCAATAAAAGTCATAACAAGAAATGCATGGAACAACAGAGTATTCGACAGGTCGGCTACCTCTTGAGCACCGACTGCTGAGGCCACAGGCGGCCAAAAAGTACTCGTCGTAGAGCCATTTGAAGCTCGGGACGCAGTGCAGGGGTACTTGCTCTCGTACCCCTGAAGTAGAGTTCACCTTCGACTCTACTTTGAAGAGTCCTTTATCTAGGATCTCTTTCTTAGCCTTGGGGGGAACAGGCGGCATGCTGCGGCCGCCTGCAAGAAGGGGCGGATTCCTGTTCCACCTGTTGAAGCGCTTGTTCAGCTCTGTGTCTGAACTCTCAATGATAAGGAAGGTGCTCCGCCAGTCCTTCCATTTGTTTGCTTTACCTCTCGTCATGAGGTAGCCCCTGTGGCTCGTCAATTGATACCAGCCGGTACCGCCTGCCTTAGGGGTCCGGCTGAGGTAGTTCATGTGGGCGAAAGCCTCGAAGTTCGGCTCCACCCCGTGCAGTTCGCACCCGGCCACATAGCCGAGTACATTGACCCAGGAGTTTAGGGCTAACTGCCATAACCCCAACTCATACCCATCCAAGATCCGCTGAACAGCCGGATGTAGTGGGAAGCGCATCCCAGCCTTGATGGCCGCCTCGTAGCAGCCAAAGCAGGCGCCATCTTAACTGGTACCAGCCGGCCAGACGACTGTGTCTTCTGGATCCGGCACGAACACTAAAAAGTCGGGGCCCATTGTGTGGTTTGCGATAAAGCTCTCCACTTTCTCTTGCATGGCCGTGATCCGGCCCCGAGGTACCGTGCAGTAGTAGGGGGTATTTTGCTCTCGGTGAGAGGCGGATGGCTCCGCCCAATCGTCCCCCTTCTCAACTGCGTGAGAAAGCCTCGCCTCTTGTAGGCGACTGTTTTTCTCTTCTGTGTCCAGAGAAGCATGGCCAGAAAAGCTGGACTCGGAATCGTCCTCTGACGAGTCCGAAGAGGACGACTTCTCCCCTCTCCCGGAGGGGCCCGCCTCCTCTCCTTTAAAAGGAGCAGGAGAGAATGTAGAATTGTCAACTGTAAAATTGGAAGGGGTCACTTTGACTCCTCCCTCAGAACTGTCGGCTTTCAAGCTGCTTTGTTTCACTTCCACATCTGGCGCCTGGTCAGATGTTTCACTAATCGGCACCCTGTGGGAGAAGCCGTCTGAGTTTGAGATCCTGGCAGTCTTTTTTGTTCTGGCCATCATGCTCTCCATAGATACAGATACAGTCGGACTTTGTATAAAGGGCAAAGATGGGTCCAGAAAAGGGCAGGCGGCACTCCTAGTCCTAGATTCAGCCGTCCCCGGTGACCGGCTGATCACTAACCTAGGTCGTGTCGTGTGCTTCCGTGGTGCCATTTCAAAAAGATAAAGTAAAGAGAAAATTAAGAGTAAGAGAACCGACGGTTACCTGAACGAGTGACGATTGATGAAGTTCTGAAAATCCTTTGCAGTCGGCTTGTCAGAGCAGGCGGTAGGTAGAAAGGGTCCAAAATGTCAGAGCAAGTTCAGGGGTCCGAATGTTCTCTCACAAAGTTTTCAAGTGTGAAAATGACCGAAGTCAACACTCCTTTATATAGGCGAAGTGAGAAGGCGAAGGGTCACTTCCAGAATTCAAAATTTTGGCGGGAGAATCTCTCGGCCTCTCGCCGAGTGACACCTGTAGCAGGCCGTCGCCTGTTATAGGGCGATACCTGTCACAGGTAACACGTGACTAGTCACGTGCCACCTATGAGGGGAAAATGATTAGGGGATTTTGCTCCCACCAATCGGAATGCGCCACGTGGGCCAATCAGGTCCTGCCAAGTGTCCCCCAGTTGGACATCTCAGGGCTTGCCACGTGGCACACGCTTATTCGTCCACCCTGGACTTATTATGTCATGACACGTGGCATACTCCATGCCTAATGGAGAAGCCGGTCACCTAGGCCCAACTTCCGAGGGAAGCCCAATCAGCCCAAGGTTAACCTAAACCTAGATTGGCACGTTTCCCGAGGTTATAAATACCTCCCTTAATCCTCATTAAGGGAGATTACGCGAACAACGCAGATTACACACATTAAACACTCTCACCTAGAGAGACCCAATCACTTTAATTTCCGCATTAATTACTCCTTAATCAAGTACTAACTTGACCGTCGGAGGCGGATCTCCAACCATCTGGAGCATCCGTTTGTTTTGCAGGTACAGGCGTCCGGTTCCAGTCTCGGAATTGTAACTCTCCCGCAGGACATCAGAAAACCCCGAAACACCTTCTTTCCTCCAATCCTTTGCACAAACAAGACAGTCTCCCTCCTTTTCTCTTCCCTTCTTTTTCTTTCCTTCTATCCAAACAAAATGTTAGACAAGGTGTATTTGATATCAAGCAGTATTAGGCCCTGTTCTTTTGAGTTTCTGGGCAGAGCATAGCAGGGCAGAGCAGAGCAGATTTCAGAATTATTATTGCATTATTATTATCGCATTATATTATCGCATTATTATCATTAATTATTACTATTATTATCATTAATTATTTAAATAGATTTAAACCCGTGCGATGTACGGGTTTTATTCATAATTAAACTTAACATTTAATATTTAATTGAAATAACCAAAAATATTAATACATAATATTACTATTTTTTTTTATACGATTAAGGTTCACACATATACAAACAAATTTTAAATCTTTTAAAGCAATTATGATCACCACTGTTCATCGCATTCAAGAATTTTGCGGTGTTCAAATTCTAAAATATGCTTAATTGCCTGCAAAAGTTTTACGTTTATTTGTGTGAAACATTAAATGATTTTATATAGGATTGAAAAACTAATGGATTTAAAGTGGCGATAAAGTTTATAAAATATGATAAATTTTATTAACGTAGAGCTTAATCTTTTAGCCGAATAAATAATAAATGATGAACATTTTTTTTTGTTGGAAAAAGAGAAAGGATATATTTTTAGTTTCAATGATTTGTATCTAATTCAAAACTGATATTTTTTATAATTCAACGCGATTTCATATTTTTTTATTAGTATTTTTTAAAAAAATATTTTATTATAATCACTTCTCATATTTCATTATTTTTTTACGTGAATATCATTTTTTAAAGTTTAATAGTATTTTTGTATATATACGAAATAAAATACATTGATTCTTTTCTCTTAGATAAAATTTTCAATTTTAAAAGATAATATTTATTTTTATAATAAATTTAAATCTTTAATTTTAATCCTACGTGGAGCTTTAAAATCTTAATCCTACGTGGCATAATCCTGTACGTAACGCTCTAAAAATACTAATCCTACATGGCGCTCTAATAATTTTTTAAAAAATTAAAATCCTACGTGGCTCTCTAAAATCTTGGGAAAAAAAACTCCCTTATATATATATATATATATATACATATATACATATACATATATACATATACATACATATATATATACATATACATATATATGTATATATATACATATACATATATATATATATACATATACATATATATATATATACTTCGTATTATTATTATTATTGCATTATTATTATTATTATTATTATTATTATTATTATTATTATTATTATTATTATTATTATTATTATTATTATTATTTGATTTTTTTAGATTTTTTTTTACTCTTTTTATAACATTAAAAAATGTGTTAAATAATATAAAATATTAATTATTATTAAATATTAGTTATTATTATCAATTATTATTATTATTATTATTATTAATTATTATTTTCTATAAATATTAGTTATTATTATTAAGCAAAACAAAGCAGAACAGATCAGATCAGATTTCAGCAAAGCAGAGCATGATAGCTCAAAAGAACAGGGTCTTGTTCGGTCTAACTTTTTAGAAATCCATTTAACAAGAGTAGTATTGTTTTATAAAACTCTATACCTCATTTCCTTCCAAATCTTTCCCAAAATCACCACCGCCACTAATTACAGATGACCAACAAGTCAACTGCTCGTTACAACCACCATCACTAAGTCAACCAACATTACTTAGAAAAGTAAGAAAAATTTTGATTTCATGTAGGAAGAAACATGACTAAATTGCTGCAATTCGAGAGAAAAGCATAAGGTTCATTATTGTCTTAAGGTCTCTGATGAAATTGGAAGGGCTTAGCTATGTATAATAGAACTTTCAAATAACAAGACTATCATCCAACTCGTACCAGCAACAAACAACTCAAACTCAATGGAATATTCAATAGTGTGAATGCAAATTTATCTTGAGCAAATTCATCAAATACTAATAGTGAACAAAGCGTAAAGATAGCAAAAGAAGATACATGCAAGGAACTTCTTTGTCTCTTGCATTACGAAAGAATCGTGACATATCCCAATACCCAGTGTGAAGTTACAAACATCAGGTCGAGTTAATTTAAAAAATTCAAACACTATAAGAAATGTTAACCGTTACTTCTCCTTGCCACCATCAATCCTATTTCTATGTCTATACAAGGCATCTAAGGCAGTGGCTCTTGCAGGAGGATGAATATGAGGTAGAATTCTAACTGTAAGAAGTCCGTTACGCAAATTTTTAACCATCACCCATAACTAGATCTTGTCATGAGATTGAAGCAGAAGAGGAACACAAAAAAATCCTTTGATTCAAGTTCCTCAACTGGTTTCCTCTCACTGTTTTGGAATCGAAGACTTCTTTGTAATCGAGGATAGTTCCTTTTCTTGCTCTTTCTTTAAAAAACTCTGAGCAGTGGAATTCACAATCTTGAAGAAAAAGTTCAGGAGGACAAGCCATACAACAGTATTCCAAATTGAATTAAAAGAAAGGCCCCACTTCTTTACCTGCAACAATGGTTTCAAACATGCTTTACTGATCTGACCTAAATGATAAACCCGGAATAACCTTGGCTTAAACCCAACTCTACCAATTATAACTTCATAAGGTAACCCTTTTATGACCCAAACCAAATAAACCTGACCCCATCCCAAAATGATGTGATCAAATATATTCATTTATTGAAATGAACAAACGGAAAATAGACCCAAAGTTAAGTAGCCCGACCCAAAATTAAAAGTTAATTGATTCATCATGATAAATTAATTAAAATAAGACCTAAACATGACCCTACCCAAAATGAACTAGTAAACCAAGTATAACCTGAGCTGAATGGTCACAAATGAAGCCTTATCTGAACAACCCTTTTTCCACCAGTAAGACTCATTAAATGTTCAAGGAAACCTTGAAGCATATTAAAGGAACAACCCCTACCTGGACATTAGTAGCCACTGGTGGAGCAGTAACAAGATACTTGTCTTTCGCAGCATGAAGTTTGGCAACTAATGTAGGCAGCACAGCGGCAACTCCAGGTATATGACTAAGCACCCATATTAATTCATTCTCCACCCAATTTAGGAGCTGATTGTTGCATACTGAGATGATAAAAATTGTCTGCAGCATGAAAAAAAATAGGTGGATCAAGATCAATACACAAAAATGAATAAATACATGCCTCAAGCTTGGAACAAGTTAAGTCAGGACAGCATCAACCAACCTGAATATGCGTCTTTATAATTGCCTTTCCAACTAATGTAGCAAGGAAAAATTGCCAAAATGGTATCCCAAATTGTCCACACATTATACCCGCCAGATCAAACAGAGGATTCGGCACCTAAAATACACATAGGTTGCTCGTCAGATTATACAACCCTTACATGAAGAAACACTAACATGCATATAAAGGAACTCCACTTTTCACCAACAGTAATCATTTTAAAAGTAGCTATTTCTAAAGGAAGCCCATGAGACTTTCTAAATTCTAATCATGTATCAACTCATATACATTATTGCAAATAAGTAATATTATAATAATAATAATAAAATTTCTATCAGGGTAAACAAGGTCTTAGGCTCTTATCCTAGAAGTGAATTTTGTAAATGAACACCTCTCTCTCCCCTTGTTGAAGCAAACTTCTGGGTCTCCTATTTTCTTACAGAAAATAAAGAGAGATAAAGAAAGCATCATTTTCTTTAATCTGCACTCAACACAGCCCGCAAACCTGGCCCTTCTTTTATGTGAGTTTGTCAAATAATAATCGTTTCATTTACCCTTTTGTAGTGTCAGAATAAAACGGAGGATAATGAATACCCCCATCTCAGCTGACAAAACAAACTGTGCGTGGGCTGCGACAGAATGTCTACCAAAAGCTTACCCCAAACCTTTGGACACCAAAAATCTACCCAAGATTGATCCAAACCCGTATAAACCCGTTGAAATCTAAAATCAACCCCATCTGTTACTAACTCAACCCGAATTCAACCCGACTTGTTACTAATCCGACTCGAATTCAACCCAATCTGTTATTAACCCGACCAAAACCTAATGTAACCCGACCCAAATAGTAATGCAATTAACTCAAATTGACCCGAACTGAGCTAACTCGACCCAAACACTCAAATTGATAAATCTAAACTAAACTTATTTTATCCGAATTTATATGAACTTATTGTTTTTTATCTAAACTTATTTGAACATGTCATCTCGAATATGAACTTATTTGAAATTGTTATCCCTAAAATAAGTGGAAACAATGTGAATAGATCATAATAGGGTTTGAACTTATCTTCTAAAAATCTAAACTAAACCTGTCTTACTGGAATTAATATAAACTTATTATATATATCTTATCTAAACTTCTTTGAACTTATTAACTCGAATTTAAACTAATTAAAAATATATCAGAAAAAGGTCTGAACTTATCTTCCAAAATTCTTAAATAAACCTATTACCGGAATTAATATGAACTTATTATATCTATCTTAAATTTATATGAACTCATTAGTTCGAATTTAAACTTATATGAAATTATTGACCCTAAAATAAGTGAAAAAAATGTATTTTAAATTTATTAGCTCGAATATGAACTTAACTGAAATTATTTCTCTTACAATAAATGAAGAAATTGATAATGATAAAACATGAACGTCAATACATGAACTGTTAACAAACCGACCCGGAAAATGTACCCGAACCCATAGAATAAAAACTCGCCCGTTACGTCGCGATGCGGCCGAGACGTAACAGATTTGAAGGCCACCGTTACGAGATTTCCCGTTTTGTAACGGGATTTTAAAAAACTCCTAAATTTAGGCCGATACGGCCGATACACTGCTGTATCGCCCAAAAAGTAGCTTTAATCCGTGAGTCGGTAGAATTTTTGTGGTAAACTCCATTGTTTCCGACATGTAAAAACTACATAACAGAGAAATAGAGAGAGAAAGAAGCAAAAAAACCAGAAAATAAAAGTTCGGCTAATAACGAGGTAAATATGGTGGAAGTATGAGATAGCTGTTATCAATTATAGGAAGGTGGACAATTGTCATCTTTATGGTGGAGTATTTTTTTACTGTTGACTTCTCATCCTTTCTTTTCTACTTTATTTTTTATTGAAAGTTGTTTTGTTACTGTTAAGTACTTCCGTATTATACTTGGTAAATTAAATTTAATTTCTACCGCGATGACCGCAACCCGGTCCGCAATCAACGCATCATTTCCGTTACCGCAACACCGCGACCGTCTCCGCGATCGCGGCCGAAACCGCATTTTGTTCTATGCCCGAATTTGATATGACCCAACCTGAAATCAACCCGAGACCCAGATTAACCCAATATTTGAGACCCGAACCCAAACATGACCCGACCTGATTATAACCGGCAAATTATTGACTTGAACCGAACCCGAATCGAACCCGTGAATAACCCGAACTCATTTTAACCTTTTAAAACCTTAATTAAATCCGACCTTTTATCCACCCGTCCCGAATGTAACCCGACCTATTATTGACCAGACCTAAACCCGACCCAAACTCGATAAGATGCATGATCCGACGTGACCCGAACTCGACCCGCATAGGTTATGACATTAACCCGAATTGAACTGAACCACACTAACTCGACCCAAACCCGACTTGTTTACCCGCTACTTAGATTCAACACGGAAAACTGCATTATCTCCACGGATTGCAAACAAGTACTTTACCCGATAAATGGGAATGAGAAAGGAGCGACCAGCAGACTAGCTACTTTATTGAAAATAAAGCTGGGAACTCTGGTGCGAGCTAATAGGTACAGAGCTGGATTTGAACCAAGGACAACTAATGCTGCTACTGATGTTCTAGCTAAGGAACCAAGGGCCTTGAACGATCTTTTGTACAAGACCATTATTTTGTGTACACCACCGATGGCCTGTAGTATAAGTGTCTGAAGACATTACTATAATTGTAGCTACGGATGACTGTACAAGTACTAATAATCCTCTCGAAGGGAACCTTGCTGTAGCTGCTTCTACTTCCTTGAATTAATTATGTGCTCCTTACCAAAAAAAAAAAACAAGAACGAGAGGGCCCGGATATTTCTTCTTAGGCACGTAACATAGTCGCTTTCCTAATAGTTTATTATAGACCCTCTATGAAACAAAAGGGTTAACACGATATAACTATTGAGATACAAAGAAAAGAAAAATTGATTTCGGTTGTTTAACTAAACCAATCTACAATATATTTGTGAATGTGTTTGTCTTTGTCATAACACTCATGAACAAATTTGTCAAAAAATAAAAATGAAAACGGCAAGAGTAAATGATTTTCCTCATTATCATCTATTCACATAAGGAAAATCATCTCTTTTTATAGAGAATGAGGGATGTACATGAAAGAATGTCTTTTCCCTCAAGAAGCATGTCTTTTCACTTAAAAGACATTAGCATAACTTAATTATATTAAATATCATAACTAACTAGTTGTGTTACAAGCACGTGAAAATTTAGCAAGAGACATTTTTTTCACTCAAAAGACATCAATTTAATTTAATACTCCCTCCATCCAGAAATTAAGTGCTCGTTTCTTATTTTTCACACGTTTTAATGCAAATAAATAAAGCAATTCGATTCCTTAAAACAATGATTGGTGATTCTTTAAAAGTAAATAGGAGAGGAGTGAAATGAGTGGGTGGGAATTAAATGTTAAAAGTAAATTTTCCCTTAATTTCGGGACGGAGGGAGTATACAATAACGTTCATTGCTAATTTTTCATTTACATGCATTCCTCTTGTAACAAAAACATATCATTAATTTCCTCAACTCCCAATGATATAATTGTGAATCCAAAAGGCAAATATGTACATGTTCCAACATGTAGACCTGCACTGATTGACTGACCACCCTATCCCTCAAATTTAGATGTACTTTCTAGTCTCTACTTCATGCCATCGATAAACCATCTACATAGATGAAGCCTTCAAATCACCATCCATATTATAAAGGCTGCATCACTGATTATACTACAGCAATATAACCTCAAGGTTCTACGGTTTTGGTATTAAAATTGCAAAATAGAGACCACATCAATTGATCCTATTTCTACATCATACTACTCTGATCTATTTGAGCATTCCATCATTCAAAACTAGCCCTCTATAAATAAATATCTTATCACTACTTGGATTTTAACTTTGGCAGGTAAGTGAGACATTGGCTTATAAATAATTTGGCAATTCTTATAGGATATACTCTTATAAAACATTCAAAAACCCTAGCGAAAAAAATCAGAATCCCACAATCTTCCCTGTTTCCAACTTCATTTGGAAGATGAATCATTAGAAAGTTAAGGTGTTTTTTGAGGACAATAAGGATAAAGTGTATTTCATGGACATATGTGTTGCATAGGTACAAATTCTGGCTTGATCCTTCAGCGTGAAATGGTTGTAGCTTTAATGTTGTATAGTGCAGAAACTTTCATTTTTTAAGGAGAAGGAGAATCTTAATCATTTTCTACTCCAATGGGCCATAGCAGGTAGGTGAATTGGCTTGTTTTGGGAATGGAAAGCAACATAAGGTGCATTGGAGGTGCGATGCCCAGCTTGATTGGCAGAGTTTCCTATGTCCTCCATCCCTTGTATTCATTAAACTTTAGGTAGTAAAAACTACAAAGTATGATAATTAGATAAGGGAAAAAAAAAATTGGTAGTTACCAATCACCATATGTTTGCAATTGATTTGTTGTTATTTTCTGGAGCAAATATTACAGCAGTTTCTTTATAGCTACATGCAAACCTCTTTTCTAAAGCTTCTGGTCTATTATTTAAAAGAAAAAAAAAAAAAAAAAAAAAAAGTGATGTCAATTTAAGTGGTGTGATTCTTGGTGACAAGGCAAGCATCCCTCAACTCTTAAAGATCCAGAAAGTAGCTTCCCTGAGAAGTTTTCAATTTTCGTGATCCAAAACTCTAGTTGATAAAATCCAGCCATGGAAGCAAAGTACTTTTTCTGGCATTCAGATCTTTTGAAATCAAATTTATTCTACCCGTACTGGTTTTGAAAAGAACTGCAGAGGCTGTTGTTTGTTTATAAGGACTTGGGATATTACTCCAAAAAGCTTTTGTCACTCTGTCATTCTAAGATAGGAGGTAGAAGAATTATCAAGCAATTGACTGTTAGCCTGTTTGGAATAAAGGAGCTATTTGCAAGCTCCTTGGGGCTTTGAAATACAAGAAATGAAAATTTGGGTCCGCTGGTGGACAATTACTACATAAAGGGGAGAGATTAATGCTCTATAGCTATTCAGGTTCTTCCAGAGTCCAAAACAAAGGTTTGGGCAGTAGAGCTCTGGTCTCGGACTATGGGGGGCTGGTGTAATGTACTGCAGAAAGATTCTCTCTGAGAGGTTTTTCTGTGCTCTGATGCTACCTGCTAGTTTATGCTCAGAGGTTTATCTGTGCTGCTGCTAGCTTTAGTTTTATAGTTTGTTCTAGTGGTCTTCTAGCTCCTTGGTTTTAGGATTTTTCTTTGTTGTTTAGCGTTGGCCTGTTTCAAACCCTTCCATGAAGTTAGGGAGATGATTATTTTTGCACTTTAGAGGCTTTGAGGTGTTATATTTATGTTTTGTAATGCTCTATCGCATTGGTAATTAACAAACATCTCCTAATTGCCAGAAAATATTGGCAGTTGAGACAAGTACAGAAAACTGTTAGGATGAACACTAAAATGGGTTCATGTAATGCAGAGAGAAAAGGATAGTCAAATTTATCTCAGGGACGTGTTAAAGTTAAAGTGTGAGGAATAACAAAGGGAGTAACTTTTCAGGAGATAACTGGTCCTACTATACTGTTGTGATTTCTCAACAGTTCAAAAGTAAAACTTTATAAATCTTAAAATAAAAATTCCAGAACTAAAAGAGTTTTAAATAGATTTCATTTAATAAATTCTTATACGTCACATAAGCTGAGCATGACAGCCTGATAACAAACCCTAAAAAAAAAATACAAATAAAAAAATAAAAAAAACAGAGTTTTAAAGAAAAAAGGCTATATTGGTCAAATAAGAAATAATCGTATCAGAATCCAGGAATATAACACAGCCCAAAATGGGTAGGGACTAACTTCTCCATATTCAAGGAACTAAAGATGTACTCTCCCTCAGACCAAGCGTACTTAAGAGAATTAGTTGTATTAATGCAAACATTTACACTTTGTTTGGATAGAAAGAAATGGAAGGAAAAGAAGAGAAGAGAAAGGGAGGGGGACAAATTCTCTTGTTTGGGTAAAGGATTGGGGGAAGGAGAGGGAGGGATCCATTTTCCCTCTCTCTTTAATAAGCATAATCTCTCCAAATTGGAGAGATTATGAGGGAAAATGGAGCTCACCTCCCCCTTCCTTTCTTTTCCCTTCCCTTCCTCCTTTTTCCCTCCCCTTCCTTTCCTTCCTTCTTTTCTATCCAAACAAAGTGTTAGTCATAACTTAGATCTATATTCTGGATGCTCAAGCATTCATATGGCGATAGATGCCAAAGATTGACAATGGTAAAAGATAAGGAGCAGTAAGCAAACTAACCGAAGCAAGTAGTAAGATTGTCCAGCCATTTAGGTACTGAGAATGTGACAAGAACCAATATTTCAATTGCATTAAGTGTTTGCCGATGAATCCATGGTCTTCAGGGGAAGACACAACCAATTCCTCCATTGGGTTCAATTTGCTTCCAGATAAGCTTGCTGAAAAAAGATTTGGGTAAGTCTAACATAATGAGCTAGGTAAAAACAGTCAGTAGGAATAACTAGTGCAGACTACTAAATTTCATCCAGGATTAGTGCAGACTGCTAATTTCATCCAGGATTAAAAAAGAAAAAAGAAAAAGAAAAAAAAAACCATGTTCAGAGAGTGCCAGCATATAATAGGTAGAGAGAAGACAGAACAGGAAAAGAACAAAAATACAAAAACGTATTGAATTGGAAGAAAAAAAGAGAAGGCTGATAATGAATAAGCAAATCAAGAAAAATTACTTTTCAAGAGCATGCAAAATCAGTACCACTGGCAAAAATTCAAACCATAACCTCCAAGAAAAAGATTTTCAAAAGTACTACCAAGAAAACACGAATACAACAATTGCCACTATAAATTAATCCATGTCTTCACATTCTAGCCTATAACCTAAGATTTAGAGCAAGGAAATCCTAAAATAAGTAGCAGCATCATACAGAAAGAAGACAACCGAAATAAGGATCAAATGCAGTTCAAAAAACCAGACAATGTCAGTATTATCACAGTATCATGAGCAGCAACAGATGGACGGCAAACATGGTACCCAACTGCATGGGTTATATTTGCTCCAAAACCAGGAAAGGCATACTCTTTTCAGTGTTTAGAATATGTGAGAAGCAACGTACAACAACAATTGTTAACATATCAAAGAAATCTTACAGCCTAGTACCCAAAAATCAGCCATTCTATGATCAAGAAAATGCTATAATCAAGTGGGTGATATACTAGCCAAGACTCAAGAGAATATTCTTAAGTACATCGATGATAATTTGGGGGACTGAGGGATAGATCAAATCATCGAAGATTGCATATATTTTGAGTTTGTTGCAATCAGAAACATAAAATTTAATTCAGTTTCAATAATGTGTGTGAAGTTTAGGAATTAATGAAATGTGTATGAAGTTTTGAATAATCAGATAGTAATAGAGATCTAACCCTACTGCTTACTCGAATCATACCATGAATACAAATCAGGTCGTGTCACTTAAGAGTTAAAAAAATTTAAAAAAAAAAAAAAAAAAAAAAAAAAAAAAAAAAAAAAGTCAAACATTCCAGAACAGGATTTTGACAACATTGAAGATCAGCAAACCTTGTACCAAGAAGTCAGTATTCACTATCAAACACATCCTTCAAACTTCAACATACCATGTGAAAGAGATTAGATTTTGAATACTTACCCAAACACAAAACTTAGTGGATAATAAAAAAAAAATAATAATAATAATAATAAAAAATAAAAAAAAGAAAGAAAAAAAAGTCATCACAGCAGTTCAGCATTGAAAAATAATTCAAAGTTAAAGTTTGGACATCATTATAAACAAGCATACTTAGTTGATTTCATTAACTAATAAACATAAAAACATATTGACACTTCAGGGTGAAAATGCATACTAACTTATGATGTGAGGATCATACCTGCCCTAGAAATGAAATATGGTGGAAGTTCACCCAAAGCAGTTCCAACACCCCATAAAATAGCTTCTAACTGTACTTGCGGCAAAATGCTGCTAAGAGGAACTCTTGTACCATCAACAGACTGAAATAATGGAGGTCCGAATTCAGAGCAGTCCTTGTCAAGCCATGATGGACCATGCTTCAACTGTATTGTATCATATGGAGCACTTTTCAAATCAACTCGACCACATTGCATTGCTTTTATTGTAAATAGGGCAATATGTGGCCCCAGATAGAGAACAAAAGTGTGCAAGCCGGATCCTGACAAATCAACAAGCAGTAACAAGGGATATATGTTACTGAGCTGAAAATGACATGCACTGCTGTTTTAAAGTTTCCAAATTATAACAACTAATCTGATGCTCAAATTTAAGGAGAAGGTTTCCAGCTATAATTGCAGTATTCGCACGAAATATTTATGTAATTAGTCAATTTGCAACTATGCAAGAGATGATCACAAAAAGATGTTTGAAACAGTACAAAAGATAGATGAAAGCAAATTAATATGCTTGTCATATTCCCCTCTGACAGTACCCCCAATCAATTTCTTCATATAGCTGCTACCAAGTAATGCATACAACAATCACAAGAAAAAATCTCAAAAACTGCACATTACCTAGTCCAATAGAAGATGCAACACCAAGAGCAGTCCACCATAATACAAACTCAAGGTGCCGAAGAATCTCTTGAACATGCTGCAAGAGAAAGCAACACCAGAATTAACCTAGTCACCAACGATTAGAGTTTCTCTAGAATGAAACAATTCAAGATATAATATATCCATCAAATAAACAATGATCCATCTCAACCTTAACTTTACACCTTAAAAGCACGAAAAAACAAATTACCCAACATTTATAAATCTAAGCCCCGATAACATTGCATCAATTTTGACCCAATTTTAAACCCATAGCTTCTCAATATGCACAGTATACAAAGAAAAACTTGTTTAGGTCTACATGAAAAATATAAGATATGAAATAAATAGAGAACAAAGTACCTTTTCATGGGAACCTTCAATAGTTGCCAAGAGAATTACACTTGACATTACCAAGGTACTCAAGACTAAAAGCCAACCACCTTTTGCCAAGAGATATGCAACTGATTGCTTCACATAATCAGAAATAGCAAAAACAAAATACTTCAAAGTTCTACCCGGTTGTGTAGTCAAAGTCAAAGTCTCGAGCTCATGTTGATGTTTCTCGTGTAGTCCTGAATGTAGCATATATAAGTGTCAGAAAAATTCTTCAATTAACTTTTGGAGAGCAGAACAAGAATATGTCATTTAAAAATGCCGAGCTTGCATCCAAAAGCTACAAAGAGTCAAAGACAGCCAGCTAGCTGCGGAACTAACTCGTTAATGGTTAAACAAGAAAAACGTAGTTTGATCATAAACAGTAGATAAAGTTTAACATGGCTTTACCCTATAACAAACAAACCATCAGATATGTATGTTCACTAGCCCACATAGTAGTTTCAAAAAAAAAAAAAAAGTTGTAAAGGGGGGTTAAGACTTTAAAAGTCACAAATCATGATACAAGCAGGTAAAAAAATATTATTTACATTGAATCTGGATAGTTACATAAACTCCAAGAAAAGCCAAAACGGAAAACCCAGCTCCAACTTTTCTAACCACAGATCCTGACCCTTGATTCGCATGAAGCAACCATTAACAATTAATATTCAAAGATCTTTTACAGTTAGTACATCTCATGTCATCTATGTGAACAAATGTAAAAGAGAAAATTCAAGTTGAGCAATATTTAAACAGCTTGATCAACTGAGATAAACAGCAGATCATAAAGATTAGGCCTTGTTCTTATTATCTAAAACAATGTTTCAAGTCTAATAAAGTACTAAGTTGATATGAGTTCAGATAAGATCTACAAGTACAAGTTAAAATTTATTCAAATAAGGGCTACAACACTAACCTACACCACAAAAAAACCACACCACCAGCCTACCTCATCTCCCTTGCATCACCAACACACAGCAGCATTTACCAGCCCATCAAACCACCAGCACTTCCTCACTGCAGCTTACCAACAACACTATCACGCACCACCATTCACTCAGCAAAGCAGCAGCACCTGCTCACCGCCTCACAACAGCAGTAGCCACTACTCCCTTGATTCACCATTAACCTTCACTCGCCATCTTCCCCAACCTTTAACGCTACAAGTCCCACGCTGCTCCTTCTCTGCTCCTCACTCACGCCAGTTAGCATTTTCAATTTAAGCCAGGTAGCCTCAACACCAACACACAAACCCACCGCGCATCACAGCAGCTCCAATTTGCAAGCAAATCCAGTGCAGCCCCCAAAAAATTAAGTTTAATCCAGCCTTGATAAATTTGAGTATTCACTTCAGTACCTTTAGATAAGTATACAGGCTTCCAAGTGATCAGAACATAGCCTTACTCTAAGGTTGAGGCTACTAAGGCTTTCTATTGATCACCTAACTAGTTGATTGCTCCTAGTACATTGAACCCTAAAGTCCAACCTCAAATTTACAACTAAGATTTTTTCAGTAATGCTATACATGTAAACAAAAAAACTATTAACAATAAACAAATAAAGCATTACATTTTTTCGCAGTCAACTTAAATCTGGATTTCTCATGCTATCCATCATCCAATATCTATGGAGTAAATCATACTTCGTATTATATAATGGAAACTCCGAAAAACCTAAAATTTATTACCAATACTTACAAAAATCCCAACTTTGTGCTAAAAACAGCAGAAATAACACAAACCCAGATTGAAATCAGAGTCAAATCAACAAATAACTTCACAAGTACTAACTACCAAATTTTTAAAAATGCCCAAATATAATAAATCAATAACAACTTGATAAAAATTAAAAATCAAAAGAACAATAATTATGAGTAATAATAAAAGGGTAACCTGAGATCGAAGAATTAGGGTCTTGAGACGATGAAGCAGCGGAAGAATTAGACGAATTGCTTGATTTTTTCTTGGAGCCCATCTTCAAAATCAAATTTTGTACAATTATAATAAGAACATCACCTTTGTTTGGACCAAAAAAAAAAGTGCCCGGATGATGTTTGTTGGAGAATGATTTTGTTCGAAGTGAAATTGATAGGGGAAACCAAAAAAACGAACAGATCTGTGATTATATAATCAATAAGAATTATGTGATGATTTGTTGGGTTTGTTTTAATGTGTTTTTGGCCTTTCTTTTTTCTCTCTCTCTTCAACCAACAGAGTTTGCGTAAAGAGTGAGGGAGCTACCCAATTTTATTGTTGTTTTAGGCCAGTTTACTGCGCATGTTTACATGGAGAGCATCGTGTACTTTCATGGGCCTTTTCATTCAGGACTTTGAATTATACTGTACTTCTTTCAACAATTGGACTCTATTTCTAGTTGCCCTAAAAAAGTCAGAACATCGAAAAGACGATGATGACCTTGTTTGATGATTAACGACGAGCTAATAACAGTTTAATGAAAGTACTTATTGACAGGCTAACGTCGTATCACCTAATCAAAAGAATTACCTAAATTCTCTAACTAAAGTAGATAGGGAAGTAGGGTCGAATCCACAGGGAAACAAGTCTTTCTATTCCTAAATAATTAAAATTATCTAAACTATTACGTAGCAATTTATTTTTGTGAGAATTAAACCAAGGAAAATAAATAAACAAAAGCAAATTAAACTAAGGAGAAATCAATAAATCAAAGCCTAGGGTATAGGTTCACCAATAAATAATATTCCAGGGTAAAACACAATAATCAATCATCAATGCATCAATTAATCAGATCATAGAGGGCTTTCGCTACGTATTACAATCACAGAATTAATCTACCGGTATTAAATCGCATCTCTCGAATCTTGACTTAACCATTTATAAATTAACCTGCCTATTGAAACAAGCCTAAATATCAATTCTCATCTCTCGAATCTCGAATCAATATTGCATAACTCATACAATTAAACGTGGCCAAATCTAATTGCATAGCATTAAATCAATCAATAGGAAATCAATCAAGCATTGACAATCAACAATAATAAATTGCCCCTTCATATTTATGGATCCCCACAACCCTAGAAATAAAACTACTCACACATATTTAATTCTAAACTAAGCAAAGCAAATAAACAAGACATAATTAATCAAAGCAATTAAATTATTGAAAATAAAAGAGAAAGGAATTGTTACCAAAATAAACGAAAATATTGAATTGCATAAACTCAAAGTGTAGAGAGAGAAAACAAGAGTATTAACCAAAAACTTAAAACTAAAATCTGGAAATTAGCTGATGAAAAAAAAACGTTCGTCACTTGCTTAGAAAAGCATATTTATACTTAAGCTCTAAATCCTAAACTTAAACGAAGATTAAAAGTCGCAAAACATCCCTCAAAAACACGCGCCCGGTCCGGCGCCATCTCGCCCGACCGGGCCCACCTTTTTGATAGGGGAACCTCAGCTCGCGCCCGGTCAGGCGCGCCCCCGGGCGGAGAGCTGTTCTCTTCCTTCTTCCTCGCTCGGCCGGGCGCGCCTTAGGGCGAGGGCCTTTCCGGTCAGGCGAGCACTCAGGCAGACATGGACTTCGATTGGGCCACTTTCTTGGCTCAATCCGAATTTCCTCTTTGGGTCTTTACTACTCGGTCCAATGCCTCGAACTCTTCTTCTTCTTCGCCAAGCCCTTAGTCACCGGTTTGATAACTCTTACCGCTCTTGGGCTACGGAAAATGGTCATATAAATGCGCTCCTGCTCCGATGCTCGTAGTGGCTCTAATAAGTCCGGGAAAATGCTCCAAATCCGCAATTTCCTATAAAATAATACCAAGACTACGAGAACACTAGAAAAACGCATATTAGTAATAAAAGTGGCTCTAAAGAGCCAAAAATACTCCTAAATATGACTAAGGGACGGGGGTAAAACACTATATAAAATGATCATATCCCTTATTGGATGAGATCGAGCAGGACAGATTAGTAGGTTTAAAAGTAGTTCGTGCACCTTTCAAATGGCCAAGGCAAAAGCTTAAAATCTGGAACTTCTAACTAGGCACAGACGTGATAGATCGATCACTTGTCAGCAAGTTCCAGCTTTGGTCAATTCTTCGTAAATCAGTCATAACTTTCGCATTTCTTATTGGAATTGGGCATATGACCTATCGTTTGAAAGATTTTGAAACAAGCTATCACACCCAACTTGAATCACCTCAAGATCACTTTTGGATTGAGAGATATGTGCATTTGAAGTCGACCCTACATTATTTCAATAGATTTCGAGTCACAAATACACTATTGGATAGTATGCCATATGATAATTTACCTGATACACATAATAAATATGGACCATGCTAATTAATGTAAATTATAAGATGAAATTCTTCAAAATGTTAATAATCATGAGTTAATCACATTGGTGCCCCGTTTTCTCTTTTGGTGAAAGTTAATTTTATAGAATTATAATTTTTTTTTTATTTACACATACACGCACACACATAGATAGATAGATAGATAGATTTGCATGTATGTAAGTAGGAGCATAAACAATTTTGCTCAAAGTCAAACCTACATGAAAATAACATAACCAAATTTTTTAGGGAATTAGCTAGTACAATAACATAACCTTAAAGGTAAAAGGAAAAACAAAAAAAATACATCTACAAAACTTAACATTAGTTATCTATATTAAGTCTACTGGGACTTTCATAGTTTTCAAAACCATATCAATATCATCAGCAATGGTTGTAGCATCCCTTAATACACCTTGTAGTCCCATTCTTGATAATTTGGCACAAGATAATTTATTTTTCCCTTTTCCAATGATTTGGAAAACGTTCTTTGGAAATCCATCATCTTTTAGTATGTAATCATAATCCTACAAAAAAAATACTTTATCATTTCTAGGGGTCTATGCTATAAGTTTACACACTTTCAAATGCACTACGTTAACTAACTTATTTAATATGGAGTTGATGATAATAATTAAATATTATGAAAATCACATAGGGTTTGTCTCCAAGCGTATTAGTTAAATATCTACTTTTTTTTTTAATCAGCCCACTTTGATTTAGTTTTGTCTGTTTATTTTGGTTTATTTTATTTTATTCTATTTTGGCGTACCTCCTTTATGATCTTAACCTATAATAAGTCAATAATTACACATTTTCATACTTTTTCTCACTTTATTCCCATCTTTATTCCATCACCTTCCTTTTTACGTTATCTCTCTTACTTTATCTAACATTCACTCACCTTTTTTTTTCCAAATTTCTTATATAAGTTTTTAAAATAGCCAAATAGAGCATAATAGGATAGATGAATACTTTTAAAATTGTCACATTTATATGTTGGTAAGCGTACTCAATTAAAGTCTGTAAACTAATTTGGTATAGAGGGAGTAGCTCACAATTTTTAGATAAACTTAAGAATGAACATTCATGATGACCATGAATGAAGTGGTTGCATTAAGAGAGACATAGGTCATATAAAATTTAATAATTAGAATGTGCGTACCTTAAGCCACTCACAAGCCGCGCATGTTTTTATATCCAGTATCAAATATTAATACATCAAATCATAATCCAACTTCATTTCCAAACATGACTTTTCTCTAGCTAATACTTGCAAAACCTGGTGAAACCTACAATATTTGCAAATAATAAAAAAAACAAGGTAAAAGATAATTCAACTATTAAAAGTAAATGATAATTTTATGGTACTTGGCATTATTTTTCTTCTCATAAAAGTATGAAATCAAAGAATTTCTTTTCTTAGATTACCCCCATTCAATTTTTCTAACAAAGGGAAATTATAAAGTGCATATTTAATGTTACAAAATATGAAAATAAGCAAGCCTAGAGTATACATAGAAAATAGGTGCATTCTTTTGAACGCATATCCCTCAGCAAAGCAATTAAAGATTAAGGGAGAGATTATGATTTTCTTTCCCCTTACGAAAAAAAGAAAATATTTTGTTAAGAGGAAAAAAAAAAGTTTGTCAATCAGAAAATAAAAATTGAAACTGGGAAATTCAACTTAATTTCCCCACCCAGATTGGATTTTGGCAATAGTTTCCACATCAATAATTGGGCTTTTTCCCTTTGTTGTCTTTAAGTAAAAAGGGCCTTCATTTGGTCGATAAATTCCGTACCTAAACAAATTCCCAAACATTAATTTGCTTGCAAAATTGATAATTGGGTCCACTACGGAAAAACTAAAGTATTTCAGCAAGTGCATTCTCACAAAGATAATTTCTCTTATACTTGTCAAAATAAAAAAAAATTAAAAATAAAAGATAATTTCTCTTGTAACCACATGAATCTACATGAATAAAACAATAAGTTTAACGCCTATATACATTATACATTATTTTTTAAGTGTGTGTATAGCACAATTTGATTTATTATAATGAATTCATGAACTGAGTTAACATAAAGTTTGGTACTAAGAAGTCTATCAAGATTTCTAATAACAATGGATGTGTTAATTAGCTCCTAAATTACATAGATCATAACTAATTTCTGTTGATCTCGATTAATTTTGGTGACGACAAGCAAACTCGATTTGGTAAAGGTGTAATAATTGTGCAGGTTGTTTAGGCAAGTTATATGTTAAGAACTAAGTTTTGGGGTTGGAACTAAGAGAAGTCCTTAATCTCCAAATGGCATACACTGTTGACATTTGAACCGAAGAAAGCAAAGAAGGTTTCAAGCTTTAATGTTCCTTTAGGAAGGATAGAAGTTATCAATGTTCAATTGGAATATCGTAAAAAGCTATGAGTATTACATGAAGACTAAGAAGTATGATTTATTATTTTTAGACTTTATTTAAGTGTTTAGTGTTTTATGATTGGTTGGAACAAAAGGAATATGAGACTTAATTAGCTTAGAGATAAAAATTGAAACGCCTAGTTTTATAAAAATTGGATTTTATTAAATGAAAATTTTATCTTATAAGGTATTTGGTTTTAGTTAAAATTATAAAAGATATATTTTGGAAAAATATAATATTAGATATTTTCTTTTTAATAAAACAAATATCTTTTCTCTAAAATAATTTTAACTGACTCCTTAAATTACTCTCCAAGAAAAAGATTTTTTTCAACACTTCTATCCCACGTTTAGTTAAACGTTCCTCCTGACTTATCTCTACTACTTGAGTTAGTTCCTATTTTTAGGAACACTGGCTCAAGTAATGGAGGATGTGTGGAAGGTAGTTAGGGATGTTGGATCATTATAAAAGGGGAGTTAAGTTTTAGTTTTTAGTGCAACCTGACAATCATACAATATTTG